CCCTTAATATGGTTGAATTTTGAAAACAAACCATACCATAAGTTATACCCTTCTTATGGAAAACTGCATTATGGGTTCAAACATCTGACTTGAAAATCTACTTGGAAGGTTTCCTTTCAGTTAGCCAAAGGGTGTTCCCTTGGTTGAGCAGGGTTCTCAATCTTGGCACTGAAGCATTCTGGGCTGGATAATATTTTGCTGTACACTGTAGGCTGTTCGGCAGCATCTCTGGTCTACATGGTAACATCATCCCCCTCCCCCCAAACTGCATTCTCTATTTTGATAACCAGAAATGTCTTCAGATTTGGCCCTATGGGCTCTGGGTGGAAAACAGGTTCCGGTTCAGAATCACTGGATTGGCAAATATAAAGCTTATCCTGTGTCAGCTGTGTATCCTTTGAAATTTCCACATACTCTGCTTTTCAGAGAGGGAAGGGCACCTTTTACACAAAAGTGATGCACTGGGAAAGGAGTCCTCTGAAGGAGCAATTTACAAACTTGCTACCATTGTGGTTATACCATTATTTTAAAATTTCAAATAACATGTAAGGGTTATTGATTTTTTGGGTGTTTACTAAAAGTTTTTAAAAGATTGAGAAATTGAGATTGAGAATTAAGAAATAACCCAGAAAACAATTTCTTTTCTTTACAAAACATGCTACAGGAAGAAACTGGGATTTTAGCATTTGAAATCTATTATTGTGAGGATATCATAAAACATTACTACCATTAGAATAATAATAACCACCATTAGAATAATAACGATGGCTGCCATTCCTGAGAGCTTGGTATGATCCAAGTACTATGCTAAGTATTAACAATAGTTTTTTCAAGACTCAAAACCCCACTCGGTAGGTAGTACAAAAGTCTTATCTATATTTCATAATTGAGAAAACTGTGGCTTGTTGTCTCTCCCAGAACCAGTTAAAATGAGTTTCACAGCTTATTAAAAAGTTCACACATGCGCACAAAAATAACAATGTAAACTAAAGGTAAAATTGATACTAATGAATTCCACAATACCAGAGCAGCAGCCCTGACCACTGTGAACTTTATACAACTTAGCTGACTCATGTGCCTTTTCATTAAAGTGGTGGTGGCTCCAGAGGCTGAGGCAGGAGGATCTGGAGTTCAAAGTCAGCCTCAGCAAAAGGGAGGCGCTAAGCAACTCGGTGAGACCTTGTCTCTAAGTAAAATACCAAACAGGGCTGGGGATGTGCCCCTGAGTTCAACCCCTGGTACCACCCCCCTCCTCCCCCCAAAAAAGGACTTAATTATTTTTGGTGACAGGATGTTACAGGAGTATGAAAAATTCACAGAAAGCCTAACTTAAGGAAGAATTTCAAATTTAATCTCTAATAAGACAAATGTGTTTATAAGGGTCTATACTAGCTGGTTTGTTCTCTCTCTCTCTCCCTCCTTCTTGTACTGGGGATTGGGGACTAAACTCAAGGGTGTCTACTACTGAACTACATTCCCAGAACTTTTCATTTTCTATTTTGAGACAGGGTTTCACTATGTTGCTGAGGTTGGCCTTGAACTTGTGATCCTCCTGCCCCTGTCTCTGGAATTGCTGGTATTAACGGGCCGGTACCACTGCCCTGGCTCCAGCCAGCTTTCTTGAAACACTTACTTATCATACATTAAAAGTGCTAATGTAAATTTCAATGGTTTAAAGTCACAGTAAGAAGCCATGGCAGAAATACAGTGGCTTACTAGTACTTGAAATAATTGGGGCTTTTTCATAACTCTTCCTGGCAACTACACATTTCTACTCTACCTCTGGTAAAAGGCAAACAGAGAACAGCAGGTATTGTGGCCATTTGTGGTTATTCCTGTGGTTTGAATTCTGAGCTACTTCTGTAATATGGATGATGGACCGTCCCCAACAACTCCAGAAGGTGAGCTACCAAAAATAATCTCCTTCCAGATGTAGATTACACATTCGCTCCTCCTGACCCTGTGAAAGTGAAGTGATAGGCACCAGAGAAGCCAAGTGAACCAGCTGCTGCTCCTGCCAGTGGCAGGAAATAGCCCATTCTGTCTAGGACTGGCGAGACTGGAATGAATAACAGCTATCTTACTTTCTCAGCATGAGAGAGAAATGGAAGTATTTCTTTCCTGGCTCATCACAAAGCAAGTGAGTGGTAGCATGTTCCATGAGCAGCTCACTAGGTGATACTAAATGCTGTTGGGAGTGTGTGTCATGTGCAGACACCGTGGCACCAATTCTCACCCTGTCTAACTTTGATGGTGGTCATGATGCCTCTTCCACCCATAGATTCCTCCCACATTTCCTCGGGCTGGGTTAGCTGCCCTACAGTATTTCTGCAACCTCAAGGGCAAGCAGATACTGTGGCACAGAGGGAGAATCAACACCAGCTGGCCATGCTCTGGTTGTGTAATGTCTGCCCCACTGACCCAGTTTCTCATCTCTATATGGGAGGATTAATAACGCCCACTGCCATGCTTCTCGTAAGGATTAGAAACAATACTGTACTTAGTACAGTATTTGTACTTAGTACAGGGGCTTAGTGAGTGACAGTAGTTGTTAATGATGATTACCTTGATTTTTTTTTTTTTTAGTTTGGTTTTAATGGTAGTCCTAGTGTACCTAGGTAAGGTGCTGGGATGTCAGCATTATTTTTCACTCCATATTCAACTCTGTTGAGTTATAAGTTAAATATGGCTCCATTTAAATTTCTAGCCTATTGGTTTGAAAATTGAGATCTATGTCTGTGTTATGAAATTGACAGTTCCTCCATCAGTAGTGAAAAGTTAAGGATTATGGGTTCTTTAACAGGCCATTCTAGCTCTGAGTTCTAATATTTAAGCTCTCATTTCTGCTATTTTCTATGTATTGCTTGGTTGGTAGGTGTAATGCTTTGTGTAGTACCTGATGTAATTTCTGCTCTGAAATTACTATTATTATGCATTATAATTATAAAAGCTGAGCTGGAACATCAAGTACTAGTATTGTGAGTGCTTTTTAAAAATCAAAAGTGTACCTTAGGAACTTAAAACGGTTAACACAGCAAGGCTGCTGGCCACAAGAGTGCTAAGTTCGGATAGAGCAGTTCTCTATGTCAAAGGCTTTCAAAGAGCAACCAAGAGCTTGGAGTTCACTGACAGGTTGCCACTAACGACCATCTGAGCATCCACAAATGAAGAAAACTGAGCCCAATATGACCACCATCTAGTTCAACTCCTCAATATACAGATGACCAACAAATAGCATCTGCTTGCCAATAGTGAGTCCACAGTTACAAGGACCTTTTCAATGAAGACGTCACACATTTTAGGTACAACTCTGGAATAATGCTCAAAGAGTTGTGAGTAAAATTCAGGCCCCAGCATGATGCTGTTCTGACTTAGCAACCAACTCTTCAACACCCATGGATAACCTTTGCTTCAGGGTCCATGTGAAAGGTAGATTCAGGCTTGGAGTCCTTGTTCCCCTCAATTCAGTCACCCTGATATCTTAGCAGTGGCCCCACATTACAGAAAGATCTGGTGAAGCTACAGAGGCCTGAGTGTGCCTGTTACCATAGCTACCACCCAGCTTTCATAAGTGTGATGTCACATCCTTCTGACGTACAGTCGTGGAGGAAGGGGTGGTAGAAATGGAAACCAGTGGGGGGGGGCGGTGGGGGTGTTCCCTCAGCATTCGGCTCTCATTAGCTATGGCTCTAGTCATACCCACTTAATTAACAGCAGGACCTTGGGAAAAATGTCAGTAAAGGGGGATTTGAACTGTAGTGTCTGGTCAAGGCCCTTTTAGCTGGAAATTCCTATGGTCCTACAATTTTACTCAAAGGGGAAAGATTTCCACCCTCAGCTTAAACATCCATGATCCACAATATATAATATTTTGACTTAAGGGAAGAAGTTTTATTATACTGTACAGTCTTGGATAGCTAACCCAAAGCAATGTCAGTTATAGCATTACGAAAGCCCACATCCCAGGCAGCTAGACTTCTGGCCACCTTAACCATTGGGAACACGGCAGGCTGTGACCGAAGTATGTAATTGCAAGAAAATTCCATTCACTTAACTCCTGAGGAGTTAGGAGGCATTAGCCTCGATTCTTTTTTGGAGCAATTAAGATAAAATGAAGGAAAGAGATTAAAAATGTAGGTTTTCCTGGAGCAGAAGCTCTTCTGGGGATTGTTCACTGGTTAAAGGGGAGGGCCCAACAGGAATGAAATAAAGGAATAATCTGCCACTCCAGAACAATGATCTTTTTACTCCCCCACCCCCCTGCCCTACTTTATCACACAGCGAAATGCTGAGGAAAGTAGATTAACTCCTTCAGGTCAATCAGATCAGGCCTGGATTTTCAGACAATCACTTCTCACACCTAAAACAAGAAGTGTACCCATTCCCCAGGACTCCATCCTCTCTCTGGCTGGGCTTAGGAAGGTCATTCACACTTTTTGGTCAGAAACTCATTCATTAAAAACCCAGCGTTCTTCTACTGTCCGGTGCCATTCTTAGGATTGCATCCTCCTTCCCTCTTGGCCTCAGTTGGGAAACTTCAGCCAGGTCCCCAGGAACAGGAGATGACCACTGCCAGTGGCTGAGAACTGGCACAGAGATTTCTTTTAAGAAGCGTGGTCTTCAAGTCCCCAGTGGATGAATTAAACTGACATTCAATGATAAACAACTGCTATATTGTTTACACGAGCCATTTCCATGAAAGAAGACAAGACTCCCTTACAAACGGAACGTGTCCTTAGGGTGTCTATAATGGTTTCGAGTTCATTATAGAATTCCAAGAAGCCTTTAAAAGACTTCCATGTTTGCCTTTTATTTTCTCATCAATGAGTGAAAAAAAATGAATTAATTACTGCTTTGGATTTTTAAGAATATATATTCTCTCTCTTGCCTCTGAAAAACAAGACAAAATAGTATTGTTAAGTGATTTCTATGAGAACAACTAGCATGAAGGGTGCTGGCCTGCAAGTCTGTGTTTATATTTTATGATATTCAAAGCCTACCTCCTCCTTTCTCCTTCTCATCCTCTTCTTCCTTCAGCAGCTTGCCAATGGAGTTATACCACTTAAACTGCAGTTCAGGGTTGCCATAAACACTACAATTAATCAAGGCACTGTTCCCTTCCTTGACTATGATATGGTCGGTTCTGGTGATGATAATGGGCACAGAGCCCAAGACCACGTCAGTGCCATTTAAAGTGCTGTTAGTCACACTCTCAGCAGTTGCTAGAGTGGACATGAGGATTAAAAAGGGCACAGAAGGTAGAAAGCACAAAGTCAGATGGCTCTTCAATAGATCCATCTTCTTTGCTTGCTCGGTAAGGCAATAGATGGTTTGCCAATGGAATCTTGTCTCAGACAGCACACTGTTCAGAACGGGCCATGGGGCAAACCTGTCCTGGATCCATGGAGTTGGTGCTTCATTAAGAATCTGTTAAAAGAAGAAAAACCACACACACACACACATAAATATTAGCATTTATACTTTCAAATGCTATTTGTAAAAGAATAAAAAAATTTTAAAAAGATACTATTTATAAAAAGTTAGCAATCCAGCTAAAATACAAACCCACATCATTTTTAAACAAGACACAAATCCAGAAGGTGTTCCAATGTTAAGTTCTATTTTTCACAGAAATTTTAAACAGTATAACTTTGCTACTTTTTGCTGTTAAAACATATAGCTCTTATAGGGCTCGGGTTGTAGCTCAGTGGTGGAGCGCTTACCTTGCACGCGTGAGGCCCTGGGTTTGATCCTCAGCATCACATAAAAATAAATAAATAAATAAATGGAGATACTGTGTCCATCTACAACTAAAATAATTTTTTAAAAAATATAGCTCTTAGTAGGAACAAATATATTCCTTTTACATTGATGTTACCTTATTTCATGGAGTTCAAAAATTGAGGCTTCTTTCATACAGCATTACAAGGTTTCTTTCTAACCCGTCACCTGTCTTCATTGTGACCTTATTGATCACCGGAGGTGTTTCCTAGTCTCTTCCAGCAAACATGGCTTCCAGCCTATCTCACTGCTTCCTGCTCCAGGTCAGCCAGCATTTGGAAGGACTCTCTGGAATGAGTCTGCCATTCTCAGAACTTGCTATTATGACTTCCAGGACATTCCTTCCCTGCACCTCATGCAATTTCCCCTGCACCTGTGAACTCTCTGCCTCCCTCTCTCTCTCTCTCTCTCTCTCTCTCTCTCACACACACACACACAAAATCCCCTGGTTTCAATACCCATCTGCCTCCTAGAGGCAGGGGGCATCATCAGGATGTGTGGGGTGGCACTTTGGGTGGCTACGCTTCCATGTCCAAAGAGCTAACCTTCACCTACTCAGTTCTTCATTCCAATCACTAATTCTGCTGCCACACCTAGTCTACAAATTCTAAGTTCTGAGGTTCCAAGTAATTATGAAGTTCTAAATAAATCATCTTTTAACTGCAATTGGCCATCCTTCCAGATATTACTCCCCTCACTAGGCTTTCCAGGTTTTGTTGTATTTGTTTGTTTCTTTTTGGTACTGGGCCAGGGGTGCTCTATCTCTGAGCTACATCCCCAGCTTTTTAAATTTTTATTTTGAGGCAGAGTCTCCCTAAGTTGCTCATGCTGGCGTTGAACTTGTGATCGTCCTGCCTCAGCCTCCTGTAGCAGAAATTAACAGGTGTGCCTGATGCTTTCTAGCACTTCTGTTTTTCTCAGTCTCTGTCTCTTTGCCCCCTCCTGATCTGTAAGCTTTGTTTCTGTCTCAGTCCAGACTCAAATCATATAGACTACAATCCCCCAAATCCCCAAATCCTCAGTTCCTGTCTTCATGCACATGTACTCTGTCAGTCCATGACTTTGATCAAACCTGTTATCCGAGCTCCTACACCCCAGAGGCTGGAATACACTGGAGAGAACCGTACAACCAAGTAATTATTTCCAAAATGAAGGAATGATCTCCGACCTCACCGGGCCCTCAGTGACATCTGGCAGTTTGCTTGCCAGTGCTCAGCCTGCTCAGTCTCCTGTTTCCTTACTGGTATGGGCATCTTCAGCTTGCCAATCAACCATCTTGGCACAGCGATATTCCTACGTTTTCAAAACAAACCAACACCCCCTTTCTTCCGTACTAAAACGTGCAGGCATGAATTCCCTCTATTCATCTTCCTACCTTTTGGAAAGCATCCTGTGCCTTATGTTAAATCCCTCACCTGCCATTCACTACTCCTCAAACTACTGTTTTCAGAATTTTATCTGCTTTTTCCTTCAACAGCTCTTGTTCAGGGCTACCTGTCATTCCCAGTTACCAAGTTCTCATCCTCTCCTTACCAAATATTTGTGACAATTAAAACTGTTCACCATTCTTTCTCAAAACTCTCCCAGGCTTCCTCACTCACCTTCGGATTGCTCTCATTGCCTCCAGAATCCCACTGGCCTCTTCTGTTGATCCACAGCTCTGTCCAAGTTCCCATCCCCAGCCTTTGCTCCACTCACAACCTAACAACGCCCAAGTCCACGCACGTTCTCAGTCCTCTTTCTGATTTTAGATTGATGTGACCAATTTCCCATTGGATGTCTTTACCTGGACCCTAGATGTCTTACTGTCAATTTAATGCAGCAAAACTGAACTCATCATCTACAAAACATGCCATGTTTCTCAGATGCCTATTTTTTTTTTTTCAATGCAATGACACAAGCTCGAGCCTGGACTCACAACCATTGCAAGCTTGAGCCTGGACTCACAACCATTCCCAACACAGCGGTCCCAGGGAGTGAGTCCTGGTCCTTGGTTCAGTGAGATTTTATAGGTTTGGGGGGGGGATTTGGATGCCTATTTTTAGTTCTAGGGACCACCATTTGTGCTGTGCCTGGGTATATCCTCCATTCCTCCACTGTATGCTCCCAGAACACTGAATCACACATTGTTGATTTCACTTTTTAAATACTGCCTGGATTTGTTCCATCATTGCCATCTTCTCTTATCAAAAACTGTGTGGTGGTAAGCCTCAGTTCAGGCCTCTCCAGCTTCTCACCAGAAACCATGTGCCAGCCTTCTGCATGATCTGCCCACCTTCAGTTTTTCTTGCTTCCCATCGAGTGCCTATAACCACTGCTGGAGGTACCAATCTATTACCTGGATTTTTACTGTGGTAAAATTGGCAACAGTGCCTGCATTATAAAATCTGAATTTTTTTTTGCTTTTTATCAATTCAAAAATATTTATTGAATATCAATATTTTTGGTCCTGAGGAGATAAGAGAAGAAAGACCTTGAAACAGACAACAGATGAAGTACATATGTCAAAAAGGATTTCAGTTAGTGATGCACACTTTGAAAAACATACCACCACGTGCTCAGTGCTGAGTCAGGCAGTTAGGGAGGACTCTCCTGAGGAGGTGGCCCCTGAGCCAGGACCAGTGATACTAAGACTGGGGTGAAGAGTGCTTTGAGAAGAACAATCAAAGCAAATACCCAGAGGAAGCTAGCAAGGGAAGGAGCACTGCAGGATGGGCTGGAGAAGTGGACAGACCTAGATCACCTGAGACTCTGTAGGCCAGAGCAAGGAGTTTGGATCTTATTCAGTGATCACTGGGAAATTCTATGCCAGGAAGTTATTATAGGGTATTATTTCTTTTTAAAAAATCAAGTTGACTGTGGTATAATTTATGTATCATAAAGATGCCTATTTTAGGCATGCATTTTAATGAATCTTGACAAATTTACACATCCATGTATCTACCACCATCAACAAGAGGCAGAACATTCCTATCACCACTAAAAGTCCCCTGGCGCCCCATCCCAGTTTCAGGGTTCCTATGGGTCCAGTGCTGTTATTTTTGTGTATTCTCCCAAAGAGTTAAGTTCCATTTTCTCCCCATATGGATATCCAGTTGTTTCAGGACCATCTGTGCAAAAGACTCTTCTTTCTTCAATGGACTATGTTGCCTTCTTGTCAGAAACCACCATGGATGGGCGGGTCTGTCCCTAAACTCATTATTACATTCTGCTGATGTGTAATGTCCATCCTCATGCCAACACTACATGACCATGCTCCCAACACACAAGGCGTTCCGTGAACTTGCTGAAACAGATCTATCCAAGGGCAGAAATGATGATTCCATCTGGTATGCAATCCCTGGTGGTAATAAATTAGCTTTAGACTGCATAATTTTTCAGTAGAAGAGAGTTTCCTTGGTGGATGGATTTCCATACTCCCCTCCTGACTTCACTGCCTGAGTGCCTTAGTGACCGGCACATCTCCCTACCAGCAGAAACCCTGGCAGAGGGAGATAGCACAAGCTGCGGTTGCACCCCAGATACTGCTGTGACTCTGGAAATGTATTTCTTTACTTGGCTGAACTTGTGGTTTCCTTTTATCAGGCGGTTGTAAGATGACATGTTCAATATAGAAGAGTCCTCAGGAGCACAGCCCCAGGTTTTAGACAGAAGGGGCCAGGATTGGGGTTCTAATCACATTGATTGGCTGTGTGTTGTTGGTTAAGTACTTAACCAAGCACAGGATGATGATAAGGATTCGTGATCAAATGTACATCCAATACTTACTGCTTGGCTTGATAAACAAGAATTATTAGCAGCATGTACAAAGCATCTTTTACCGGAACTGGGCTTTTTCAGTCTATTTTTAAGTTATGTCATTTAAAAAATATACCTTGTTTGGGTTTTGTTTGATACTTTCTTGACTATTGTCCCACCCCCAGAAGTCATTACAGATGACATCCGGCACAGGGTCCTTTGCAGGGACTCAAGTCTGAAAAAGTGTGAGCTGTCCCTCTGAGCTCAAATTACAGTGAGTATCCTGAAGGCAAGAACTGGTGTCACTTCTCTTTGACTCCTGATTCCTAGGCTAGCAGATTCCTGGGAAAGCTGGGAATGGAACCACCATTTGACCCTGCTATTGCCCTTCTCGGACTATTCCCTGAAGACCTTAAAAGAGCATGCTACAGGGATGCTGCCACATCGATGTTCACAGCAGCACAATTCACAATAGCTAGACTGTGGAACCAACCCAGATGCCCTTCAATAGATGAATGGATAAAAAAAATGTGGCATCTATACACAATGGAGTACTATGCAGCAATAAAAATGACAAAATCATAGAATTTGCAGGGAAATGGATGGCACTAGAGCAGATTATGCTTAGTGAAGCTAGTCAATCCCTAAAAAACAAATACCAAATGTCTTCTTTGATATAATGAGAGCAACTATGAACAGAGCAAGGAGGAAGAGCAGGAAGAAAAGACTAACATTTAACAGAGTCATGAGATGGGAGGGAAAGGGAGAGAAAAGGGAAATTGCATGGAAATGAAGGGAGACCCTCATTGCTATACAAAATTACATATAAGATGTTGTGAGGGGAATGGGAAAATAAACAAGGAGAGTAATGAATTACAGTAGATGGGGTAGAGAGAGAAGATGGGAGGGGAGGGGAGGGGGGATAGTAGGGGATAGGAAAGGTAGCAGAATACAACAATTACTAATTGGGCATTATGTAAAATTGTGGATGTGTAACTGACGTGATTCTGCAATCTGCATTTGGGGTAAAATTGGGAGTTCATAACCCACTTCAATCTAATGTATGAAATATGATATGTCAAGAGCTTTGTAATGTTGTGAACAACCAATTAAAAAAAAAAAAAAAAAGAAGATGCCTGACTAAGTACCTCGAGTTGAGGGAAAGAGAATCAGAGACAAGACACGTAGGAGATAGGTCCTAGCAAATACGTGGAATTAATACACATTTTTTTTTTCACCATTAGGGAGAATGTAACAAATGCAAGATCAAACTGAATTTTAAAATGTATAAGTCAAGAGCTATTTTCAAGTTTTGGTGTTTTACTTTCAAATACAATGTGCTAGCAAGAATAAAAAGAAGGGGTTACTGCTGTGCTATGATATTTTAATAATGTCAGTAGGCACTTTGGGCTGGAATATTGACTATTCAGAAGTGGCAACTAGTTTCTTAGAATCCTCAAGAGGTACAGAGACAGAGATGTGCTCATTTTAATGTGGGAAATGGTTTCCCCTCTCTTCTCCATTCTTACTCCCATCCTGTGCCATTTTAAAGTTACTAAGGGATAGAAAATGATGCACAATTT